TCAATCAATCAGAATAGAACTGGAAGGGAACTTGGAGGTCTTTTAGTCCAATCCCTGCTCAAGTAGGAGACCCTATACCAGGGGTCTGCAACCTTAAACACTCAAAGAGCCATTTGGACACGTTTCCCACAGAAAAGAAAACACCGGGAGCCACAAAACTCTTCCCGTGCCTGACTATTTTTTGAGCGCCCACAAAACTAGCAAATATAGTTGAATTAAACGTTCTGTTTTCTTCTGAAACTTTTCTTCTCTTGGATTTATCCATAGTTGGCCTACCGGGGGTTGAAAAGCTCAATAAATCGTGTGCCGGTGGGTGTCACACATTGGCGGTTGGGACGTATATTTTGAGTGACAGGGAGCTGCAGCAGAGGGATGAAAGAGCCACATGTGGCTCCAGAGCCGCAGGTTGCAGACTCCTGCCCTATACCCATGATGGCGAACCTAGGGTGGCACGCAGAGCCCTTTCTGTGGACACGCATGCCATCGCCAACTGCTCTTCTGGTTTCCGGCACGTGCATCAGTGGTGGGTTGCCCCCGGTTTGGACCGGTTCGCAAAAACCGGTAGTAAAACCAACGGGAGGCCCCGCCCACTGCCCCGGATGTCATCATCGACGATCTGCGCATGCATGCGTGAGTGAAGTGAGCGTGTGTGCGTGATCCCGTTGTGAACCGGTAGTAAAGGTAAGTAGAACCCACCCTGGGTGCGCATACATGCCGGCCAGCTGATCTTCGCGCTCACTGGCACGCCAGAAACCCAAAGACCAACCGGGCGGTGCGCATGCGGGTGCCGGAAACCAGGAAAGCTTATGGCAACTTGAGAGCACGCCAAGGATTCTTTGCGAGTTGACAGCGTGATTTTTTTTCCTGGAGCCGATAACGTGATTCTTATCGCCGATTTCAAAGACGGTTAAGGAAACTTAAAAGCAAGCCGTAGTATTATTATTAGCTGCTACGAGCTGTTGATGCGAGTAGAATTGCAAATGATATTTGAGAAGCCTGGTTTGTTTGCCTCGAGAACACAAGGAACTTTGTGTGCTTATATACTATGGCAGGATTTAATGGAGAGGAAGAACAAATAATGACATTGCCGCTGGCTTTGAAGATTAGCTCCTGCTTTGGAAAAGTCACTTATTTAGCGTTAAACTTACTTATCTTTAACTCCCTGTCTTCTTCTCACCTTGTCTTCATCCACTTTTGTTCGGTTTGTTTTTAGATCCACCTGAACTGAAAAGGGACACAGAAAACCAGTGGTGGGTTCCAACCGGCATTACCACCAGTTCTCTTCGTGCACGCGCTTTGCGCACGATCACCGTGTGCATGCTCGCTTCGCTCTCATGTGCGCCAAACTTGCGCTATGCGCAAGCGCGTTAGGTATCTGCCCAGCTGAGGTGTGGCAATCCACTCTGCCGTGCCTATCAGCTGGGCTAAAAAAGAAGAAATAAAGGTAGGAATAACACGGCAGCGGGTGGGTGGGTCCAGCTCCCAGACAAAGAGAACCGGTTCGGTGACATCACATCATCACTGCTACCGGCTTGGCCAAACCGGGCCGAACCGGGAGCAACCCACCACTGTTCCAAACCTAGATATCTCTATACAGGTAGTTCTTGACTTACAACAGTTCATTTAAGTGACCCTTCAACAATCAGAACAGCGCTGAAAAAAAGTGACTTGTGACCATTTTTCACTCTTATGACTGTTGTTGCAGCCTCATGGTCCTTTTGATTTACACACACTTACCCATTGCTCACGCGGCCCAGTTTCAAAGACGCCGCAGATCCCCGGTAGTGGGCCACAGTCCGGGGTTGGAGATCCCTGACTTAACTTTATTTTCTTAATAAGATTGTAAAATTGGGGGTGGCTCATTCAACAACTGCCTTGCTTAGCGACAGAAATTCTGATCCCAATTGTGGGCGTAAGTTGAGGACTACCTGTACGAGGAGTTCTTCATTCAATGAATGATTTTTGGGGTGTGGCTTCAGGCAGGCACACGTTTGTACACACACCAGTGTGACAGATGCACATATTCAGGGCTCGTTTATGAGCTGTGGTGGCGCAGTGGTTAGAAAGCAATATTGCAGGCTAATTCTGCTGACTGCCGGCTGCCAGCCGTTTGATCCTGACTGACTCAACGTTGACTCAGCCTTCCATCCTTCTGAGGTGGGTAAAATGAGGACCCAGATTGTTGGGGGCAATTTGCTGACACTGTAAACAGCTTCGTGAGGGCTGTAAAAGCACGGTGAAGCGGTATATAAGTGCTATTGCTATTGTTTCAACTGGGGTTGAACCCAACATTGATCAGGTGAGTAAACTGGGCATCACACAGGAATTTTTCCAGCATTCTAAACATGAGATGAGGTGTAATTATTATTTTAATTGCACACTACCATGAACTTCTTGAAGATAAAGGCTTTTTTCCATCCACCTTTTATTCTCAAACACTATGTGGGAGGGCAGCCATGGAAACAGCCCACGGCTATTCAAGTTGAAGTTCTTGGCTGATTATATTTAAGCACTTACGCTGAGCCACCGGCTAACTAACCCAACTATGCTTTAGTCTAACAGTCTGCACACACCAAGTCCACAAAATTAAGTTGCAGTTCAATGTATCATGGAAATGTAGAAAATACAGGCAGTCCTCAACTTACAACCATTCTTTTAGTGACCGTTCGATGTTATGACGGCACTGATAAAAGTGACTTATGACCGTTTTTTCACACAACCATTGCAGCAACCCCATGATCATGTGATCAAAATTCAAACATTTGGCAACTGTCTCATATTTATGACGACTGTACAGTCCTGGGGTCATGCAATCACCTTTTGTGAACTTCTGGCAAGCAAAGTCAGTGTGGAAGTCAGATTCATCTAATAATTGTGTTCCTAATTTAACAATTGCAGTGATTCACTTAGCCACTGTGGCAAGAAAAGTTGCAAAATGGGGCAAAACTCACTTAACAACCGTCTAATTTAGCAATGGAAATTTTGGGCCCAATTGTGGTCGTAAGTCCAGGACTACCTGTAGAGCTGGATAAACCACAATTCACCTCTGCCCACAATTAAGTAAGTGCCTTCTACAAATACAGGTCTGAGCAAAGTTTTGAAATTTAGCCTTTATTATTCTATCTGTACACTTAACTATTCTAATGGCTTTTCATAACATTCTTGTTTGATTGGTAACACAGTGTTGTGTACACATTTAACTGTAATCCTTTGGTTAACTTTGTAAGGAACATAGAATATAGAATAATAGGGCTGGAAGGGACCTTGGAGGTCTTCTAGTCCAGCCTCCTGCCCTTAGCAGGAGATCCTAAACCTTACTGGACAAATTGCTGCTTCAATGTTATTGGCCCCAGATTACAGGAGTGAGGAATAAGTGTGAGGGGCATTATGGGAGTTCAGATTAACAGAGTTGGAAGGGACCTTGTAGGTCATCTGGTCCAACCCTCTGCCTAAGCAGGCAAGCCTACACCATTTCTGACAGATGGCAGTCCAATCTCTTCTTGAAAGCCTCCAGTGATGAAGCACTCACAACTTCCAAAGGCAAGCTGTTCCATTGATTGATTGTTCTCACTGTCAGAAAATTTCTCCTTATTTCTAGGTTGAATCTCTCCTTGATCAGTTTCCATCCATTATTCCTTGTCTGGCTTTCGGATGCCTTGGAAAACAGCTTGACCCCCTCCTCTCTGTGGCAGCCCCTCAAATATTGGAAGACTGTTATCATGTCTCCCCTGGTCCTTCTCTTCACTAGACTAGCCATGCCCAGTTCCTGTAACCGTTCTTCATGTTTTAGTCTCCAGTCCCCTAATCATCCTGGTTGCTCTTCTCTGCACTCTTTCTAAAGTCTCATTCCTTCTAGAGTTGGAATCTGGAGGTCATTGGCTAGAGAAATCTGGTGTATTCATATCTGAGGAGATAACTAGTGTTTTGCTAATCTACAACTTGGTTTTTTTACTTTGGTAGGGTAAGGAATTTCATGGTTAAATGCTAAATAAAGTAATACTCCAGTGATAAAGACTCTTCCCTGACACTGTAGTCTTCTACACATAATAATGTTAATAGTATAGGTTTTACCATGGCACAATCAATATTTTAATTATCTTGTCTGTTGTTTGGACAAACAGTGTACAAATAATGTGTAGGCCAGTATTGTAAGTCATTCAACATAGCTTGTAAATTGACAAGAATTGAGCTGGACTATGGCTCTTTTCTTCTTGTTTTTATTGTGAAGAAAGGACAGTAGATAATGTGCTAAATTCGTTTGTAGGCGGGAAAGGGAAACCATGTTTTGACCTCTGAAAGGAATTTAGAGGAGACATTAGGATGTGAATTTAAATTATATGGGAGAAGAACTTTGGTAAAAATCGATATCTGTCTCTGTGATCTTCCAATCCACTTCAGTTTTAGATTTTTCCTCAAAGAGAAAACTCAGAAGTTGGTCAACATTTTGTACTAAACCATTATCCACTGAACTGTAGCTTACTAAAGAATAGAATTGCACAGAACGGAAAACCATAGCAAACTAAGATGGCTAAGTTTGCACATCCTTACTACGCCCAAGCCAAAGTAAATTATAATTTGTGTGAATCTCTGCCCTAAAAAACGTAATTTTTGTCTGTATGAAGAATGCAATTGTCTTTATGAAGAAGACAAATTTCCCTATCTCTCTGCTGCCCTCAAGCGGTGGACTCGATTTAGCATCTCCCCACCCCACCCCAAAGAAGACACTCCCCAACTTGGGACTCCCAGATCTGCTGGAAGTCCCATGATCCTCCCCCTGTGGAAAGGCCCTAGATGGGATGATAACCACCTCCTCTGCCGTTCTAGCACTTCGCATATCTATGATATCGAGGGCGAGGGCTACAGTACTGTACACTGTACAGTACTGTATAGCTAGAAGCAAGTGTCGGGCATCCTCGATCCGCGCAGGCGCGGTTCCTCCTTTGGCGCTCGGGCTCCACATTGGCGGAAGGGAGAGAAAGGTACCATAGAGACGGCGCGATGGGGACGCCGGCCAGAGAAGAATTAGGTATCGTAGTTGGCAAACGGATTCTCGCGAGTGGGGGGGAGGAGGGGGGAGGCTAAGGCTGGACGTGGTGGTGGGGAGCGGGCGGTGGGTCCTAAAGAAAAACGAGGAGGGCTTTATTATTATTATTATTATTTCTTTTTTACTCCCTTATCGGGGTTTTGGGGGTTCCCCCGTGAGGTTATTGCAGCCCAGGGTTTGCAAAAAAAATAGCATAGGGACGCTTGCAAAGATGATTTGCAGAATCATCTTTGCAAGGCGCGCTCGGTGCAAAACGGGAACCTCTTTCAGACGAGACGCAGGTCGCCGTGCAATAGTGAAGAAGAGTAATCAAGACGATTAGGGGACTGGAGGCTAAAACATACGATGAACGGTTGCAGGAACTGGGCTATGGCTAGTCCAGTGAAGAGAAGGACCCAGGGGAGACATGATAGAAGTGTTTCAATATTTGAGGGGCTGCCACAGAGAGGAGAGGGGGGGGGTCAAGCTATTTTCCAAAGCACCTGAAAGCCAGACAAGGAATGATGGATGGAAACTGATCAAGGAGAGATTCAACCTAGAAATAAGGAGAAATTTTCTGACCGTGAGAACCATCAACCCATGGAATAGAAGTTGCCTTCAGAAGTTGTGGGAGCTTCATCACTGGAGGCTTTCAGAAAGAGACTATATTGCCATTTGTCACGGATGGAAACTGAACCAGGAGAGATTCAACCTAGAAATAAAGAGAAATTTTCTGACCGTGAGAGCCATCAACCAATGGAACAGAAGTTGCCTTCAGAAGTTGTGGGAGCTTCATCACTGGAGGCTTTCAAGAAGAGACTGGATTGCCATCTGTCAGAAATGGTGTAGGGTCTCCTGCTTGGGCTGGATGACCTACAAGGTCCCTTCCAACTCTGTTAATTTGTTAAACTCCGTCGATTCTCCTATGTTTTACAATCCCGGGTGGAGATCGAAGACAATGACTTAACATTCCTCTCTTTCTTAGTTTTTTTCTTCTTCTTTTAGCTCATCCTAAATTAAGGGTAAACATGATCTCCCAAAAAAATGAGGGAGAATGTCCCAATAAAGGTTGTTGTAGGACGGTGCACGGGTAAAAAGATTGCGTGAACCGGTGTCATTAGAAATAGTTTGCCGTACATTCTTCTGTCCCCTTGCTCAACTGTGGCTTTTGTTTCAGTTATTTATTTAATTGGTTCATGAAAGACTCAGTGGAAAAACACAGGCATTAACGGAAAGATGTCATCCCCCAGGAGTTTGGAAAATTTTGTAAAAGAGGCAGCTGAAAAGTAAATCCTTTCCTTTGTGGCCCACCCACAAAGTCGAGCTGTGTAGTGTTTTTTTGATAGTGCTAAATCCCCTTTCTTTAGTAATGACTGTCTGGGTACGTATTTTAAAAGGCGAAGGCTCAGTTGAGTTGAGCAGGACTCCTTGGGACTTCATGAACTGAAACTGTTTGCCATGGCTTCCTACTACTCATCATGTGTCTCCTTTTCCCATTTCAAAGTATAGGTAGTCCTCGACCCTAACTCTCGACTACCTTTGAGTCCAAAATTTCTGTTGTTAAGTGAGACATTTGTTAAGTGAGTTTTACCCCGTGTTACGACTTTTCTTTCTTGCCGCCATTGTTAAGTGAATCATGGCAGTTGATATATTAATAGCCTGGTTTGTTCAGTGAATCTGGCTTCCCCGTTGACTTTGCTTGTCAGAAGGTCACAAAAGGGGATCACATGACCCTGGGACACTGCGACCGTCATAAATATGAATCCGTTGCCAAGCATCTGAATATTGGTCATGTGATCATGCGGATGCTGCAAAGGTGGTAACTCTGCAAAAATAGTCATAAGTCACATTTTTCAGTGCCATTGTAACTTTGAATGGTCATAAATGAACTGTTGTAATCGAGGACTACCTGTATTTATCCATTCCCTGCCCTTGCTTTCAACAGAGAATAGGGCTGCTCCCTCTTCAAGTTGGCAAGGTTGGGAAACCCTGACCTAGAATATGGAGCGAAAGAGATGCTTATCAGATGTGTAAATTATGCCAGATTAAAGCATTTGATTTTACAAATCAAAATTCAGAATGACCTCAGATTGGGATTATATCTAACAGGATGAAGTTCCTATTCCTGAGTAAAGAGAATTAAACATATAAGTACTAGTTTGAGAGCAGGAGTGAAATCCAGCAGGTTCTGACAGGTTCTGGAGAACCGGTAGCAGAAATTTTGAGTAGTTCGGAGAACTGGCAAATACCACCTCTGGCTGGCCCCAGAGTGGAGTGGGAATGGAAATTTTGCAATATTCTTCCCCCAGAAAGAATATTCTGCACTGACAGAAGCCTAGTGCAAAATAATTGTTCCATTGTTCTCTGCGCTGATTATTTCATTTTCACAGAGTACAGGTAATCCTCGACATACGCCCAAAATTTTCTGTTACTAATGTGAGAAACAGACTCACCTGTCGGAAATTTGACAGTCATAAAGCGGAACAGCAAGCAGTTTATTGCATGTAAAATACGTTCTTGCAAGAGCGAGTGGCTAACAAGTAGGCACACCGAAGAATAAATTTCTTCAACTTTTTATTCCCTTCACCCAAACTACAAATCCCTCCCCTTGGACAAAGACCACAGGGTTGCAATCTTCCCGGAATGCATGTTTCTCCATGAATTTCCCCATGCTTAATCTGTTTCCCCACGTTTTGCACAGTTCCCCTTTTTCCATACTACCTTTTGTCCCTTTTTAAAAATTATTTCTTAACCTATATTTCTTGCTTCCTTACAATCCTTGCAGCATAAGCACAATAAATTGAAGCAAGGGATTAATTAATTTCTCCACTATATTACTAGACTGTGAGGTTAAATCTGCTTGACCAAGCTGACTCGCTTATCGGAATCACAGTTTCTTCCTTTTTACCTTTTAATGTCCCAGTGTCCCTACTGAACTTTTATACCCACAACTCGTAAAAAATGCTTTCTTTGCAAAAACAACATTATCTCCCATCAGTTTCTTAACACGACGTGAAACACTTTTTAAATGAGTTTTGCTCCATTTTATGACCTTGTTAAAGGAACGACCGCAGCTGTTAGTAACATGGTTGTTAAGTGAATCTGGCTTCCCCATTGACTTTGCTTGTCAGAAGGTTTCAAAAAATGATTGCGTGACCCCGGGATACTGCAACCGTCATAAATATGAGTCAGTTGCCAAGCGTCTGACTTTTGATCATGTGGCCATGGAGATGCTGCAACTGTCGTAAGTGTGAAAAATTGTCATAAATTGCTTTTTTCAGTGCTGTTGTAACTTTGGTCACTAAATGAACCATTGTAAGTTGAGGACTACCTGTATTGTGTTTAGCTCTTTAAATGAGATATGGAGAAAGTAGAATGACAGAATCCGGAAGCCAGTTTCTTAATTGTTCAATGAAGTAGACGTTTTTCATTTGTAAAAGAGAAACCTTGCGGGCAAAATGATAACAGATTACCAATATCTCAAAAACTGGCAGATGATTCTGGGAATTGAAGTCCACATGTCTTAAAGTTGCCAAGGTCGAGAAACTCTTACTCTAGGTCAGGGGTCTGCAACCTTAAATACTCAAAGAGCCATTTGGACCCATTTTCCACAGAAAAGAAAACACTGGGAGCCACAAAACCTGGGTGGGCGTTGCCAACTCGATGTCACTCACTTCCACCAGTCACATGATCCCCTAGCCACGCCTACCCATCTGCTCATTAGGGCAGAGAACTGGTGGTTAAAAAACACTGGGAACCACAAAACCCTTTTGACATCTCTCTCTTCCCCCTCCCTCCCTCCCTTCCTCCCTCCCTCCCTCTCTCTCTGTATCTCTCTGTCTCTACCCTGGTCACTTCTCCATCCCCTGCCGTTGCCCTTACCTTCTCAGGTCAGGCGAGGAGTGACTGGGAAGGGAGGGCAAGGCCAGCCAGTGGTGGGATCACCCAATAGAAAGCCACAGCAGAGGGCTCAAAGAGCCACATGTGGCTCCAGAGCTGCAGGTTGCTGACACCCGCTCTAGATCATTTATTAAGATGTGAAATAGCATTGGACTGAGGATGGAATCAGGATAAATCCACTCAGTGTTTCCCTCCAGAGATCAATGCATAACCATTTTATCAGCTCCTTTTGGCTGTAGTTCAGCAAGTTCAAATCCAGGAGGCTTTAGCATCCTCAAACCCACATTTATCTGTCTTGTCCACTGTGGTATCATAGAAGGCCTTGTTAAATACGTTAATGAGATCAAAGTACACTTACATCCACAGAAATTCCCTTGGTCTACTAAAATAGGCATTCTGTCATGGAAAGATAAGAAGTTAATCTCACACAATTTATTTTTGGCAGACTTGTTCTACTTCCTTGTATTGGCCTGCTTCTAAACAATTAAGTGCCTGCATTTTAATTACTAACAAATTAAGCATAAATTATTTACTTGGAAAGCACTGTAATAACAAACATCACTGTAATTTAAAGAAGCAAAATCCATAGCTGGAAAATTCCTGTCGCTTTTCCAACAAATATGAATATGCAGTTAGTAAAATCAATTTATTATTAATCCTTCAAGTCAGCATCAATCTTTAGAAGCCACATAGATAGATCTCCAGGTTGAAGTTAATAAAGCAGCAAATGTTCATTCTTCCCAAAGAAACCAAGGTCATAAGCTAGTTTTAAACTAAGGTTTATTAACATACAGATCCTGATTTATAATCACAAGTTCAGATGCTTTATGAAAATTTCTGTTCTTAGTTTGCTACCTGCTGACGTGACCAGCAGAATAGGAATAAATTGGATATGCATGCCGATTGCTTCTTCACAAACATTAACCAACAGTGTTTCATTTCATTTTGTTCTCTCTCATCTAGTTCATCATATAATTTAGGCAACATTTGACAATCCGGATTGCTTCTTTGGAGTTGAATGCTTAAAAAAAAAACACCAGAAGAGCAGAAGATACTTGGCATAACGAGAGCATCTCACTCAAAACCTCCAAATGAAAGTCCCA